CACACGCACACGCACACACGCACACGCACGCACACGCACACGCACACGCACACACGCACGCACACACACCCACACCCACATCCACACGCTCCACACACATACAATAGACACACCACACACACACACACACACACACACACACACACACACACACAGATACAAGGATATGGTGACGGCAGAAATTCAACTCCAGCCCAAACACCCAGAGCAGAAGTGAAAACCAAGCTGCTAGTTATTTGGAGAATCGGAAAGGATGGAACCGATGGACAATGAGTGCGGAAGACCTGGTGAAAAGTCAAGACATTCTCTGAGATCAAAGCGCAACCCACCATCCAGTCAGCGTCCAGTCAACCGTCACCCAACTAGCTTGAGCACGTGGCTCACATTGCCAGCAACAATAAGATCAAGCAGTGAGAAAGTCATTCTCAGCCAGGCAACTGACAATCAGGTTAAAATCCCCCACAAAGGAAGCGACTTCCAGCATTTCAAACTGATTGGGGAGCGCACTGCGGTATCTTGAAAAACCCGAAACCCGCCGAAGAATGAATGAACGCCAGCCCTTTTTTAAAAGAGCACAGAATTAAGGGGTAAGGGATTAGAGGACTGGAGCTGGGGTTGGGAAGGAACGGAGGAAAAGCAGGGGTGTTGTGAGATAAATCAATGCCAGTTCTCTTCCAGTGTGGGGATTATACGGATTGTGACATCCCATCGGCCAATTGACTGGTGCCTTCTCATGCAAAAGACAAACCACGTCCTCTTGCTGTGCACATCACTCGAAGAAAAAAAAGATGGATATGCTGCTTGTTCCAGGAATGCCAATGCTCGATATAACACCCATAGACTATAAACAGAATCGATCAAAGCACGTTCAATTGGCGATGATTCGGCGACAACTCGCTGACGGTTCGTCGACGAACATCCATTCACAATTTCACAATCATTCTTCTCGGTAACTGTGTTAAAAGCTGGGTTAAGGTCAGTCTGATCCAAAGTACATCATGCACAATTTAGCAGTGCACATAATAGGATGTCAAGGATCGAAATCATGATCATGACTCTGCGTGAATTGGCCTGCACAGGGTCAGCTTAGACAGAGGCAATAGCTCAAGCAAGCAAGGCAACCAAGCACAAAGGTTTATGAAAAAATACTTAGAAGGGGTATATGGGATGGACACATGAGTCCCCCACAGGCGCAGTCAACCAAGCAAGCGGATGTGAGCTGCAGCAAATCAATAATTATCAGAGAAATTATGGGTGTACCTGGTGTAGAGAATAATGAGGGGGAAAAGAAAAACAAAAGAGACAACTTTGTCAATTCTTCATAATTAGTATGAACCTTCATTGGGGACCACTTAAGATGCAGTTTCCATGGCCCTCTGAAGTTCTTCGATCTCCAGTTCCACTGCAGTTTTGACAGCAGACTGAGGTGGTCCCCAATGTGTGGTACCAACTGTCGCTGCTTCCACACTATGTGTTGGTACAGATGGCAAAGGCTCAGGTGGCTCAAGCAAGTCTTCGTCCAACTCGAATGATTCAAGTTCCTCCAACTCCTTCATCAGGTCTTCATCATCGAACTCAGTGAAGCCAACCGGCTCTCCCAAAACCTGCTGAATGTCCTTCATTTTTTCCGTTTGGAGGGTTATCTCACCTAATATATCGTCAACGCTGTCGATGTCTGTGTCTTTCTGTATTTTCTTCATTGCTGAAGCCCCTGTTCGCAGTGCATCCACCACCTCCGTCGTTGCCTTTGCACCCTCCAGCAAAATCATCTGGTCATGTATTCGTAGCTGATGATTCGCAAAATTATCAGCCTGCACCTCGTACATCTTCTTTCTCTTCAAACATTGAATGGCGGCTCGTTTGTTCTTTCGCCGAGTGCAGTCCTTCGCTTGTTCTACCTCCATAGCTGCCTTCTTGCGCATGAAGGCCTCCTTTTTCTCCAACATTTCAAGAGTTTCCTGTAGCTTTTCCAGGGTGGGGAGCGCTGATTGCTCCGCTTTTGGCTTGCCGAAAAGCCTCTCAAATAAATAATTCATCTTGTATGCTATCTTAGGGACAAGAGCACCTGCGAACACAAGCAAAGAGAAAGGCAGACAAAAAAAACGCACGGAGAGAGAGAGAGAGAGAGAGATAGAGAGATAGAGAGAGAGAGAGAGAGAGAGAGAGAGAGAGAGAGAGAGAGAGAGAGAGAGAGAGAGAGAGAGAGAGAGAGAGAGAGGCAGACTGCGGCGACAGTCTGTAGGGAAGGGCACAGTAGCTCACAGAGTCAGGTGCATGCAAACCTCAAATAGAAAATGCTTGCTTTGAACAAATTGCCATGCTGAGTCAGAACTTAAAGACACACAAACTCAAGTCTTGCCATAGCAAATTCAGCCTCCGAAGTCCACAAGAAGATCCACTTTAAAACATGTCCCGACTCCTTCACGCCACCATAGCCACCATCTTCCCAAAACATCGACAACGCAGTTCCTCTACCGGTTCCATCCGTCTGCACAAACTCATCAGGAAAGTGCCCCTTGCAAGCGCTTCAGCCGAAAAGAGAGGCCAACTGCCTTGCCCCTCGCGATTTTATCCACTAGTGATGCCTATGTTGTTCATGTCGTACGAAATAAAACTCCCAGTAGCACTTGTCACTTCAAGTGTTGTAACAGCACTGCGAAGCCGATAAAGATATGAAACAAACTTGACCTGAAATAAAAGAAAATAACCAAAATAAAAGATAAAAGATAGCGCAGATTCAAATCTTTGAGCCTGCACTCTTGCGCATAGGCCACCAGCACAGGGAGCATCTGTATAAACTTGCCTTGCCTCGTCCCTAGGGGGTGTGTGCGAATGGCACTACATCGGTGCGGGAGTCAACCGATGTACTGCCATTCGCACACACCCCCTAGGGACGACGCATGGTAAGCTTATACAGACGCCCCATGCGCACCGCTCAAGGGGTCCAGTCCATGGTTGCAGTCTGCTGGTAGTGGGCCTCAGGAGGGACTGTTTGAGTGCCACACATGTCAAAGGCGGGGGCATTTCATCCGGGAATGTCGGACGCGCATGCGTGACATGGAGCAACAAGTGAATCAAGGTCGTTCCAATCAAGCTTCCACGTCAAGTGCTGCCCCGATCTTGCCGTCCCCTGGAGCCGTCGTTCCGTACCAGGCGCCGCAAAATGACGATCGCAACAACCAAGGTAGTAATGGGTACAGCGGCGGATACAACAGGGGAGGGTATGGAGGCGGGTAGAATGGTTACAGACAACCATGGAACCCCGACTACAGGGATAAGAACGACAAAGTTGATAGGATGTGGGCGTGGATGTCGGCCGAAATGGAAGAAAGAGAACGGGCTAAAAAAGAAAGGGAGGCTGCGGCTAAGAAAGAGGAGGAGGTGAAGAGACAGAGATAGGAAGAGGAAAAGAGGCTAATGGAGGCAAAAGACAAAGAAGACTTCAAAAAAAGTATTGGACAAATGGTAGGCGATCAAATGAAGGTCGTATGTGAAGAAGTGTTGGGGAGAAAGGTTGGAGAAGGTGAGCGATTGATTACATCCACTTCTAAAGAATTCAAGAGAAGAGGAGGGAATGACTCCCGGAATGATCAAGTTGCTGAGGAGCTCAGAATGAAAGATGGAGAGAGAACAAAATTGAAGCATGCGATGGCTGATATGCAGAGGAAGGTTTGTCGAACGAATGACGCAGAGCAGGAGGTGGAAATGTTAAAGTTAGACAATCAACACTTGATACAAGACATATTGTATCTGAAAGAACAAGTCCAAGAACTGAAGAAATGGTCAATGCAGGAAGCGGGAGCTAACGCGAAGAGAGCGCCCCAGCCATTACCAAAGCAGAAAGACAAAGGTGTTAGTATTCCGACTCTTGGTGACTACGTGAAGTTGTCTGAGGCGTACAGGAGACTTCGCGATGAAAAGGACATGGCTGAAAGGGAGGTGCAAGCTCTGAAAGAGAAAATCGGACGAATCAGCGTTGTGACGACCCCGACACCTACAAGCGTCAAGAGGAAACGCATCGCAAGGAAAAGAAAATCACCATCGAACCTGAGGATTCGACTAAACAAAGCGGGCAGTCCAAGTAAATCAGTGGAGACGAACAACACTGCACAAGTGAAGTTTGTAAAACTAACCAACGCAGGTTGGGAGGATTTCTGGAAACGTGTTTTCAATGAATTGTCGAAAATTAAGAAGCGAGAGATTGAGAAGTTATGTGAAGAAGAAAAACTCGACTATGTCACGATCAAATCTTTTGCGGGAGAAATTGCAGATATTTACACTAAACGAGCTTTCGGGAAACGTGTAAGCAAACGGCCGCTGGGTGACGATGACGCCAAGGAGGCTGAAGAATCCGATAATTCCAAGGATTTGGCTGGTGAAAGTCAAGGCGAAGAGGAGAACAACGATACTACCGGAGGATGCTAAGGTTGGTTTCCGAGCGCCGATGAGTTGTTGAATCTCGCTCTTGCGTGTAAAGAGGCACGTTGGAATAATTCATTACCGAAGGACGGTAAGATTGACAATGTATTTAGACTGGTGGTGTTATCGTTGATTCTTCTACAACAATTTTCTTGGTGTGACAAGTTTATTCCGTTTCTTCGCTATTTATTCTCTATAAACTACGATTTTATTTCTTGTCTGGGTCACCTAGTTTATGTTTTGGTTTCTCCTTGGAGCAAACATGTGTATATAGGTTGTTCGAGACGATCGATTCAGCAGAGATGGAAAGAACATGTGGGTAGGGTGATTGCTCCGCAAAGCCAGAACATTAGGAATCATCGATTGTACCGGTGGCTTCGACATAATCAAGTTGGAGGGTATGTGGCGATTCCGAACGGAAGCTTATTTTATCAGATCGTTTAATCCTTTCTTGAATTTAATACCTGCTCATGGAAGGAGAAAGGAGAGGAGGAAAAAACTATTGGGGAAACGGGAGAGAAGGCGTAAGAGAATTGGGAATCAAAAACCAGGTAATTGGCAGTAAGTCACCCTTCGTTTTTCAATCGTCTGTGGGGGTCACCTCTACCAACCTTCAGGAGATTCTAGATAAGTGCTTTAGTGGACACACTGGTACTGTAGATATCAAGTGCGTAGGAGGGAACATACTGATCGATAAGTGGAAAGTATTGAAACGATGTTACGGTTCGTCGGTGGTGAGGAAAGAGAATTAAGCTGAATTGTTCAAACAGTGTCGGGGAAGACTGGTGTCGGGAGCTTGTTTGTCCTTCGACAAGATTTCTAGATACTGTTCCAAGTTTAAGAAAGACAAGCATGAACTTGTTACTATTTTGAGTAACCCGTCCAGGTGCAAGAATTTACATAAGGAGTCGTTTGATAAACTTTTGCAACTATACAACTGCGTGAGATGTTTTTCCAGGAAGGAAAAGTTCTCGGTTAAACTACGTATAAGAGTTAATGCTAGGGTGCCCTTTGATGCTGATCTATCTAAGAAGAGGGTTCGAGATGTGTGCCTGTCAATTATCAGATTTTCGTCTATTCGATCGTCCCTAGGGAATATTATATGTGAGAGTAGTTTGGACCAAGAATAAGTCGGTGGGAGATATCTTATAAAATTTTTGAACTTACTCACATGAAGTGAAGCCTGTCTGCACCTGTCACGGACTTTACCTTCCGAGTTGTGGGCAGCACGTAGATTTTAGATTTAGCGAAGTGGAGTGGATTTCGAAGATTGCGAAAAATAGCAAGAATATTCCATATCCCGCTATGCGATGCAATTTGAAAGGATTGAGGGAGATCGTTTTTGATAGCCTTAGCAGTATCCAAGAGGACACGAGCAACTTTTCAGTGACAAATAAAGAGTTACGTGCATTCTTCAACTCTATTCATGATAATGGGGCTTACATTGACGGTCTGGCACAAGTAATGAAGGTCAAAGAGCATCTAAAGGGTTTGGTTAGTTGTCCCATCGATCATAATATTGGAGATACTTTTGTATGTTGTCTGTTTGTTTTTCGCAAGGGAATGAAAGGATTGTTTACTAAAAATAAAGGGTTTGAACATGTGCGGCATGAAGAGCAACTGGTCATTCATAGGATGAAGCAAGAACATCGGGAACAAAGTATTGACAGGTATGCTAGTTTCAACAAGAATGGAGGACTGGAAAAGGCCTATTGTATTCCAAAGTATAAGGACGTAGCAAAGTGGAGACCCATTTGCCCATCCTTTTCTGACCCGCTAGCGCGAATAAGTAGAGTCGTGTCCAAGGCTATTAACAAGCTGTTGTGGTCACTCCCTGAAAACTCTAATTTCAACTTGAGATGTCCTAATGATATGATCAACAGACTGAACACCTTCAACAACAATATTCAGGATGATGTCCAGTTTCGACGTAAAAGAAATGTTTACTGCACTTCCACACCCGTCAATTGTTGAAGTTGTTGAATGGTTGACCCGAACATATAAAGAGAAGGCTTTTTCGGATATTTTTGTTAAAAAATGTGGAAAAGGAGCCTTACTGGAAAACGAAAAAGTATCCCGGTTGGTTATGTTCGTCTTAGATTTGGGGTTCTGTTAACAATGGTAGCATTTGATGTTGACAATACGTTTTTAACCGCTATGGGAGTAGTATTGAAGCAGAATATCGGCATTCCGATGGGGAAGCCTTCTAGCCCGGCTCTAGCATGTCTACTTTGTGCTTTCAACGAGTTTGAGTTTTTGAGTCACTTAGGGAAGGAACGGTGAATGCTCTTCGGGATGAGGCTTGTAGATGACGTATCCATTTTTTCGAAATTTAAAAAAGATCGAGGTACAGCACGATATTGGCGGAAAATAGGGTTGCACAATTTAGTATTTGTTATGATGACAATTTGGTTCTGGAACTAACAAGCTGTTGCGACACGTGGGACTTTTTGGGATGCATTATCAAGGTATTTCATCAGCCATGCAGGGTTCTCTGTGCTGCCACACATAAAAATGAACGTTTTATTATCAATGAAGGGATCTTATTCCAAAATCTGCAAGATTTTGTTTCTTACTCAGACAAACAGCAGAAGATGTCAGTGATTACAGCATGCTTACACAGGGTTAAGGCTATGACGACGATGCCGGGAGCTGATGCCTACTTCCGGCTCACTCTGAAGATGGAGCTACAAGCACGAAACTTCCCGGACTCCTATTTTGATAACTGTTTGACAAACTTCTCATCAAGAATGAATGATTGTTGGTTACATTGGGTACGATGTTTTACGCAATGTTGACTGTAATCTTCTGTCTAGTAGGTAGTTCTTAGTTTAATAGGTGTTGTTTCATAACTCTCTTTCCTTTCTTTAGATGGTGGATACCCCGTTGATCTAAGACTAATCTGATTAATTCTGTCTTTTTCCTTTTGCATACTCGGCCTTCTGTTCTTGCGCAGGTTTAAGACTAATCTGATCAATTTTGGCTCCCCCCCCCCCCCCCCCTCCACCTTTCTTTCTTCCTTTTTTCACCTCCATAATGCTTTTACGATTGTTTCTACATACTGCATCCCTCCTGGTTTTGAACCTCTGACTCCTTGACTTTTCCTGTTTTCCTTTCTGCATATTAAGCCCTCTTTTCTTCATAACTGGCCTTGAACCCTTGACTCTTTGATTCTTCTGTTTTCCCTATACGTTGTCTTCTCCAATTTTTTCCTCTCTGGTTTTGAACTCTTGACCTTCTTCCCTCTTTACTTTATCCATTGCTATTCTATCGTAGTCTAGTCTATCTTGCGCCAGGTACTATCGACCCTGACGAAGCCGGATGGGTGACCGGCAGAAACATGGTGTAGGGTCTTTCGCTCGTTCTGTGTCTGTTTTTTTGTCATGAAAATTCTTTTGACGCAGTTACATGCGCTCAGTTCTTTACTCATGTCTCATCTTCTCTGTGTGGTGTGCCTTGTGTATACTGCACTTTTTTGTGTGCTCATACACCTTGTGTATTGTCACCACGATTGATACTTGCAAACATTAGTCTGCGCACTAACCATAGTAACCAACGTAGCAATTGTACTACGGTTGTGTGATTGCGTGTTACCACCATCTACTTCCGATTGCATGTACTAGTTTGTGGGGTTCCATGGCGAGTCTGGGTAAGGCCTGTACGTCACTATGGTACCCACACGAGAGTCCACACATAGCAAAACCTCGACTACCGTAGGATCCAAATAGGGAAATGTGGCGCACACACAGGGGGTTAGTATGGGGCAGGGTGTTGGGCATTCTTGATCCCACAGGTAACATATGATGCCTGTGAGATGGCCCTTCATCCGGGTTAGGGTCCGTTGGGAATTCTCATTGGGGGAATTACCTGGATTGGGGCCCTTTGAGGGGAGCCTGGGACAAGGGGCATCATACTTAGGGAGGTGCAAGGAAGATGAGCATTAGCGAACTTCAGCAATCAAACAGCATCATACATATGAGTCCAGATAGTCTTGACCTCGAACCACAGCAGACTGGCA